GGTTTAAAATTTCAAACCAGACAAATAAATGCTCAATGATGGATAATAATAATTTCTCTAGATGTATGTGAGCCATTTAGAGAATCCAAATTTGTCAAAAGCAGGTAGAGTAAACAATACTTCTTTTCAAATTTTTACAAATTCTTTGTGCCCACCAAATGTTTGATTGAATAAAGTAGTATTAAGGAACTTTATACTGTTATATTATTATACAGTCACAGTTTGCAAGATATTGATACTGTTATTTAGTAACCATCATGTTTGATGAATAATGTAAACTGATTTCAGTGGACCATCATGACTTTTGACTGATTCAGAATGTAAATTTTTTTACACTGAAAGTATATTGAAGATAAATTCAAGTGAATAACTTAATCTGTCACCTGTATCTGGTTACAAAGTAGTGTAGGAAAGTGGAAATTTCTGTTATTCCCAACTCTTTTCCTGGACATAGTCTGGTGCCTCCTCCAAATATCAAGAAGTAGTTTTTTGATTCGAGACTCTTATCCTGCAATTGGAAATTGAAGGTTATTATTATTATTATTATCAAGAGGGTGATGACCATGTATACTAATTTTGCTTTTTATGTGAGAAACTTATAGGACAGTAACAGTCACAATATATGGAGTGTGATGGCAAGTATCTGATATGGTAGATCAAGAAAAACTTTTGACATAAGAAAAAGTAAAGGAAAAAGGTTGTTTTGTTAGACTAACCAGCCATCTCCATGGGTTGAAAGTGAGAGGATCAGGATATAGAAAAGGGTCATAGTTGATCTCTCTTGTGTACACATATATTCTCCATCCTTTGGGAATCAAATAGCCTGAAAACAACAATGTGGATCAGTGACATTGTTGACTGCAACAAGAAGGTGCTGCTGTCATTTATGGTGAATAGTGGAATACTTGTGTGCTGGTGCAAAACTCGTCAAGGACACCCTATCCTTTCATTCATTCTTACTTTTCTAATCCTTTACTTTTGCTAACGCATTTAATTTAGTGCTAAAAGGCAGAAGAAAGTTGGGAGGAAAGGTACCTCCTTATCTGGAAAACTTGTTTTATAGTGGAATTGTCTTTGTGTGGTTGTTGAATTGATGGCCAAATTGCCAGGTGTGTGTGTGTGTATTATTACTTATCTCGGATGAATTTCTCTTGGAAGTTACAATTTTACATATTTTATATTGATACTGAATCATTGATGCTGTAGAAGTGACCAAAAAAAGAAGCTCTTAAAGTCAAAAAACAGCTTCTTGAGCCCATAACACAGCAAAAAGCTATAGCACCTAATGAAACCCACCGTTTAGTTCCATGTCTTGAGTGGTTTTCCTTAGGACCCCATTAACTATTGTGGCCAATCTAGAGGTCTCAAAAATCACCTGCAAAATGTACAAAAGCTTGATCAAATCTTCTTGGCAATCATTTAAAAAGCAACTACTTTTTTTTTTCTCTGACGTGTGGTTCAAAACACTATGAGACACTAACTGTGGTTACTTAGAAAAACAACCACTTAATGTGACAGAAATGGCACACAGTTCTTACCGCTCGAGTAAAACTCATTGACTTGAGGTCATTCCAGTCAATTGGCTCATCATGCTTTTTCCTCTCTCTTATGGCCAAATGCTCTTTCTGCAACAAATATTTCACACACAACATAGTCAGCACAGAAACATAAGAAATTAAAGTCTGTCTATTTTTACACCCAATTTTTTTTTACTCCATATAACATAACTTCACTACTTTTCACTTTCTCTTTTTGTTACAATTAGAAAAGGTTATTTTTTTTATGATATGATTGTGAAATGGCGTCAATAAATATTTTCCTTTATGAAAGCTAAGGACTAATAGTGTTTTTCACTTACTCTGAGTTCTTCAAGAGCTTTGGGATGGTCATGGAGGTACTTCACTGCCATCATTGATGTAGTTGAAACAGTTTCATAACCAGAATATATGACCGTTATCACCAGATCAATGATTTCTTCATCACTTAGTTTGTATCTGTTTTCCTCTCTTGCCATCAAGCAACCAAGCATGTCATGGTAGGTTTCATTGGATGCTCTTCTTTCCTCCAGTAGCTTACTCAGAACATTGACCATAGTCTTCCTTGCCTGCAAGAGGAATTAAATCAAACAAAGCCTTGTTGTGATGAAGAGAAAACTAAGATGTGAAATAAATCATGCAAACTAAGATGGGAAAAGATGAATGATGAGACCTGGAATCCACGGTGGTAATTTGTCCCAGGAAGGTTAATAGGTAGAGAAATGGTTCCAAGAACAAGCTTAAAGAACTCTGTCATGAATGAGTCAGACAACGAGACAGATTCTCTGCCAGCAATCTGCTTCAGAGATGAGAGGAAGGCCATCTGTATCAAATGTTTGAGAATTTTGAAGAAAGTTGTGTAAGTTTTGTTTTTTTTTTTCCTTTAGTTGATGAATTTGATTGATGAATTAGCAACACAAACCTCCTTGGTTTTCTCTTGAATGTTGATGACTTTGTTATCCCAGTTGCTAAGGTGGGCTCTGATGAACTCATCAATTTTTGGCAAAAGCTGATCTCTGATCGAGGTGGGGCTAATGATGGAAAGCAGTGCTCCTCTCATGTACTTGTGGGTGGAGCCATGAACAGCTGCAATGTTACATTTGCCTAAGATATCTAACATGGATTGAGGGTATCCAGGAACAAGACCTTTTGCCTCATTCATTAGGATGTATCTATTAAGCTCTGGATCCATGGACACAATGGTAGGACAACCAAGTATGTGGGATTTGAAAAAACTGCCATACCTGCCATTTTGACAAAAGGTAAAATAAAAGTTAACAATCATTACTAATGAGGTAAAAGTACATGCATGAACAGTGCTTACCTCACACCCGGTTTAACTAATTTAAGAAACCACCATTAAGTAAGAAAAAAAAAAAGATTTGTCAAATGGGCAGCATCCTGATGATGTGTGCAAGCCATAAATTATTCTTTAGGGACACCAAAAGTACCATTAAACCAAACTCTGTTAGCTTAGCTCATTCCCCTTGATCTTCCATTTCCAATTCCCTTCTTTCTCCACCCCCAAACACAACTTTTCATTGGTTTTATGCTCAATAACTCTTGAATCAATGTGCTAGGCCTAGTACCTACCCAACAAGTTAAACACAGAAAGAGTTTAACTTTGAAACATGGAACTTTGAAACAACATGAAACTAACAACAGAAGCAGCAAAGGCTGTAAAAAAGTGTTGCAAACCACTTATGCAAGTGGACATGATGAAGACTCCTTGCACACATACTCACACAACTATAAATATGAGGAAAACCATGTAATGATGCAGTTAGTTACTGTAGTTGTTTGTTACCTTGCTCTCTGGTTTTTCATGAAGTTTGGACCCTGTTTGAGAAACTCTGTTGTCTCCCCAAAAACTGGCCAACCCATTGTGCCAGGAGGCAAACCTTTTTTCCTGTACCTTACTTCATTCCACCTCAAGAGAGCAGAGCAAAAACAGAGCACCACCACTACACCCAATATTGCCATGAACACAGCCATTGCTGAACCCAAAAGAGACTTCAAAAAAAAGGTACAACCTTTTCTGTTGTAGTCACCACAAGGGTGCACATAAACACACATATATATAGGCCCTTCACCTTGTGCTTCCATTTCATATAAGAATAAGAATTAACCATAAAGACAAAAAAAAAAAAAAAAAAACTTCACTCTATAAGGTTGTAGCATTTCCTATTCCAACAATAACCATAACACAAATCTGAAAAATAAGTAACATATGCACTTTTTGGACTAAACTATCATCTAATATTATTATAAACTGTCATATGCACTAATAACATGGTTAACTTTCCGAAGAATCATTAAAAAAAAGACAACTTTTATTGACAGTATAATTTTTTTTTACAGAGGATAATAAATAAATGCCTTAACATCAAATTTGAACTAGGAAATTACATAAAAAAAAAAAGTGGGGATGGCTTTTATGAGGATTTTAGGGAGGTGAGCAACTTAAATACAACAGACATATGCAGTCTTCAATGATTTATAGATAAAATATTTACAACCCATTTAGCCCTTCGAGATTTTAAGCTGGAAATGTTTGTTTGTGAGGTTTATAATTGATTATAGTTAATTGAGTAAATACTGTGACTGCTTCAGTCTTTGGTATTAAGTGTAGAGTTTATCGAGGAAACAGGGAACTTTAAGAAACATATGTAATTTAAATTCAAATATGTGACAAATGATTGATAAATAATGTCATCTCAGGTTTCTTAAGCATTTGGTTAAAGTATTAAAAAGAGTATTTGCAGAAGTTAATGTATGAGCAAGAAAGACTTAAAAATAAGGGAATAGAAAAGAAATTGTGCAGTTTATCTTGAAGGTAGAAGGGGAAAAAGTGGAAATAGTTTATAGAAAAGGCACATGCATAGCACCCCATTGGACCTAAAGGAAAAGGTGGTCATAGCCAGCCCCAGTTCTTCACATGTCTGTCAATAAGATCTGGTCATGGAAATACACAATCCCACTACAAGACACTCTCCTTGAGTTACCATGTGAATATGTGAGGAGAGAAGGGCAAAGGGATTTTTGCTTCTCTTCAAACACTAGCTGCAACTTTGAACCTAAAACCTCACTCTTTGTTTCATTTTCAACATTACTTGGTGTTGTTATTACCAGTTCTAAGATGAACTATAAACTCTCATGTTATTAATGTTTTTTTTTTTTAAAGAAAGATTAGATTATCTAAATGTGATTTTGTACTCATAAGAAGAATTTAAATCACTTTTCCCTCAAAATCTGAGTTATTAAATTTATAGATTTTGTTTTTTACAAGTGCTTGGTCTTTTCAGTTTTTTTATATAAATTATTTGAGTACTTTCTTCAAAATGAACTTCATTTCATAGTTTAATTTGGTAAAATTATTTTATTAAAACAAACATGGGTGGGTGTTTATACAAAACCTTTTATAGGTAATTTCTTTAAGTTTAAACTTTCGGATGATCCTCATATTTGTAGGAGAATCTTAAGTCGGTAACCGTCTCAATTGAATCCTAAATTTTGAAAATTCATAACAATTACGTCCTTTCCAGATAGTGTTAACCGATGTTTTAAAAAAAATTACAACTCAACATCTGTTAACATCGTCTGAAGCACCTAATGGAAAGGGCATAATTGTTATAATTTTTCAAAAATTTGAGATCCAATTGAGACCGTTTTTAACAAGAAGACTCATTTGAGATTTTCCTATAAATAGGAGGACTATTAGAGGGTTTAAAGCTTTCTTTAATTTTTGGTTTAATAGTCAACTTTTTCCCTAGCTTGGTTGGCAAATCTCAATAACGGAGTTAATGGGTTAATGATGTGGCACTACTTATTGATTACGTGTCAAAAAATGTGCTTACGTGTTGGTTAATTAGGAAATAAGTTAGGGAAGAAAGCATTTTATTCAGAAAGGATTTTTTAATTGGGGAAGAAAGGATTTTATTCAGAAATTGGGTTTTGGGTTTTTTTAATTGAGCAGCCATCTTCTCCCCACTCGCGGCGTCGCACCTCTTTTCTGCCAGCAAAGAGCATCATCGACGACGCCACCTACGCTGGACGCAGCAGGTCGAAACCTTCGTCCCCGCTTTTCGCGCGCGAGAGGAGTCTCGTCTATTCCTGTAACGCCAATGACATGAACCAGGATCGCCACCGCCTCGATCCGCTGCATCTCCTCCGGCTGGCTGAGACCCGTGCCGGTTGCAGCAGCCAACCACTCACGCTGACACCGCCACCAAGAGCACCACCATACTACCCGTCGGACTGTAGCCGACGACGCCGCGGTTCAGAACGAAGAAGGAACCAATCTTTTGGGCGAGGGAACTCGCCGCAACAACCTCGGCACCGGTAACGCGAATGAACTCACCAATCATATAATAAGGATCGGTCTCTATTATCGTTATCGTTGGACAGCGGATTTCTTCACTAAAGGGTGCGGATTAGGGTTTGTGTACTAAAAAGAAATTGGGGAAATGGGGAATGAAATCCTAGGTTAAAATTTGATGAAGATGATGGGAGTAGATTCTGCCTCATTTTTTATTGGATTAAGAAAATGAAGCAGATTGAATTTGATTTTTGGGGAGTGTGATATTTATTGGCTAGTCTTCTTCACTTAATGTTTTTCTTCTCTAGATATTGTTTTGCTTTCTGGGTGCAGGTTAAAGAGATGTTGGTGAATGAAGGTACGTAAAGATGGAGAGTGTGATGGTTGGTGGCAGCATAAGAAGGGGTATGAAAATGATGATGGTTCTGTGTTGATATGGGTGGCGCAGAGAGGGGAGAAGAGGATGAAGATAGATTGGGGTTATGGGCCCAGATACAAGAGATATTATTTTTTTTTAGAAAAAATGAATGAAACAGTTGCAGATTATTTTATTTCCCCAATTAAAAAATCATTTCTGAATAAAATCCTTTCTTCCCTAATTTATTTCCTAATTAACCAACAGGTAAGCACATTTTTTGACATGTAATCAATAAGTAGTGCCACATCATTAACCCATTAACTCCGTTTGGTTATACTTAACGGAAGAGACTATTTTAACTCAAAAATTTAAAAGTAAGGACCAATTTCAAACATTTTTATAAAGAGGGACTAAATTGAGATTTGCCAACCAAACTAGGGACAAAGTTGGCTATTAAACCTTAATTTTTAAGTGTGTTTTACAATGTATTCTAGTTGTGTTGGCATATTCTAGTTAAAATCACTTTTTATTTTCTTGTATAAATTAAAAGGTTTGAATTTTTGAAACTAGAGTAATTGTCTACAAAATTATGAAGTTTAATTTACATGTTTAGGCTATATTTTATGCAAAATAAAATAAAATAATATGTTGTACACACTAAAATATAAATTTATAAAATACTATTGTCTGTTATGAAACTTTACAACAAATAAAAGATAAAAAAAGATATTTATTAGATGTTTTATACATAGGGTCACTCATTTATGATAATAGTCCAGTTCCATACCTTTATTTATTAGCTTTTGTCCTCTAATATTTATTAGAGAACTAGCTACCACTTTTAGTCAAATTTACTTAATCACATTCTCTGCATGCATAAGATTGTACCTTAAATCTATGCTTAAATGTTTATAGAGTTAAATATGAACAATTATAGTTTTTAAATAATAACGTTTTGCTAAACTAACTTAAAAATTAGATATAGTCAAATATAAACAAAGAAAACTAAAACTATTTCATTATCTCATTTTTTGAACCTATATTGTGATCATTAAAAATTTTCCTTACATCATAACTTATTCTTTATTAGTGTTTAATTAAAAATAATATCATATAACATTTCATTCACACCTCAACAAAATATTGAAAAAATTATTAAATATTATTATATACTTTTACACTGTAAAAACAATTACATAAAACATGAGAACGAAACTAAATCCATATGATAAAACTAAAACACAAAAAAAATAAAATTATAAAAACCTGTATAAATATGAACATGAAAAGTTGAAACTATAAAAATTAATTAGACTTATGATAAAAAAAATCAAGATTTATATTATATTTTAAAAGATCAATATTTAAAACTAATTAAATATTAAAATTTAACTCTTAATTTTAATTCCTTAGTGAGCTAAACTCATTATAATTATATTATCTCCCCCAGAAAAAAAACCATCTATAAAAGAATTATGAGAATTTTTCAGATAGCGTGAGCTCAATACTATACAAAAACTTTCATAGAGAAAATTATTTCATTATAGTAGATATATATATCACATGATCAACTTGTCATTGAAATATGTTTTTTCTCATATACCAAAATTTAAAAATTTAACATCCTAAGTCAAAATATATCTATTTTAGTTCAATTTCATTTTCCAATACCACACATTTTTTTCACAAGAACTTATAAAGACACAAATAGATAATAAAATGTTTTCTTTTATAAATAATCTTATAACTTAAAACAATAAAAATATTTATTCTTCATTTATTCTAAATTCCCTTTATTATGCTTATTAAAAAACATTTCGTTATTCCTAATAACTGATTACTATAAACAGAAAATATTACCCTTTTCTATTTTTTTTAAGATGGAGTTCTGTTACNAAAGAAAGATTAGATTATCTAAATGTGATTTTGTACTCATAAGAAGAATTTAAATCACTTTTCCCTCAAAATCTGAGTTATTAAATTTATAGATTTTGTTTTTTACAAGTGCTTGGTCTTTTCAGTTTTTTTATATAAATTATTTGAGTACTTTCTTCAAAATGAACTTCATTTCATAGTTTAATTTGGTAAAATTATTTTATTAAAACAAACATGGGTGGGTGTTTATACAAAACCTTTTATAGGTAATTTCTTTAAGTTTAAACTTTCGGATGATCCTCATATTTGTAGGAGAATCTTAAGTCGGTAACCGTCTCAATTGAATCCTAAATTTTGAAAATTCATAACAATTACGTCCTTTCCAGATAGTGTTAACCGATGTTTTAAAAAAAATTACAACTCAACATCTGTTAACATCGTCTGAAGCACCTAATGGAAAGGGCATAATTGTTATAATTTTTCAAAAATTTGAGATCCAATTGAGACCGTTTTTAACAAGAAGACTCATTTG